TAAAAAAGATTTAAAAAACAAAAATTATAAAAAATTAAAAAAAAATGTTTATTTAGAAATATTTATAGCTAAATATATCAACTCAAATAAAAATCACTTATGCGCATCAAAATAAATTTTTATATGCCACACAACGCTATAAATAGCCAATCCAGTCAAAATAGCCCAGCAACGACTGTCAAAGTGATAAAAAGTAGCGAAGTGCACAGAATTCAAGGCCAAAATGAAGTAAACACGATATTAAAAAAAAATCGTAAATATCAAATATTTCGCATAACGAATCGTATAAATAATATGTAAACACATACTGACATACAGTTCTATGGAAAAACATGAATGCCGATAAAATTAAAATAAATTCAGAAATTGAGTCACAAATAAATAGCTGTGTTACAAAGAGGTATCAATTTATGCGACAAATAAAAATAACGGTAAAACATTTTATGTGTATTTGCAGTTGTACATTTTATGTGCATATTTATCTACGTTTATTTATTTACCTTATTTCATGTGTGCATAACTGTTTTTTTTATAGATTTCAAACCTTTTTTCTCAAATTTATTTGCGTTGAATGTGCAACCAACGCTTTTACACATCGCTTTAAGCCTCAGAGAGTAATAACGCGGTTGAGAATTTAAAATGTTTAAAGGCAAATTAAGAAAAGTAAGCAAAAACGTGAACTGGGGTTGCATCGAAGCTATAACAATCTTCATAAGTACGAAATATTTCTTACAGAAACTTTATTTTGTTCGTTGAGTCTATATGATACCTATATAGTAGTCCGATCTGATCAAGTTATTTAGACACTTAAGCAATGCCTCAGACTGCGAAATTTTGAGGAGATATCTCACGAAATACAAAAAATTCCCGTACAATTTTCAATGACTCGTTCGAGCACTTCGACTGATAATGACACGGATGATGTTTTGCTCCAAGACCTGAATCGAAGCCGGGTTGCCCACATTTGATATAACACGATCTTTTTGGCCCATCGACCAAACTCGAAGTAAAATGTGCTAAGTTCTTCCATGCGTCAGTGCGAGTTGCTGCGAATCAACTCTCTAGCGCCTTACTGTACACCCTCAGCTACTGCTGCAATATTTCCTTCACTGCTAGTACCTAGTGGACGGGATCTATTCGGTCGAATATTATACAGTCATGAAAGCTGGGACTCAAGATGTGTGATGTTGTTGCGAATGATATGCTCAGGAGACCTTTTTGTCGATCATGAATTGAGCGAAGCTGCAAAACACATTCTTTGTAGAACGTGAATTTTAGTAATAAAGTTGAAAACGTTGTTCAGGCGTAAGTCTTTCTATGTTGAAATACCAAACAACACTGAACGCAAATAGCATGACAGCTTGACATGACTCACGAGGGATCAGTTGAAAAAAAGGCTATAGAAAAAGGTACCTCTATTTAGATGACCCTTTAATAAGCATTGTTCAGAATGTAAAAAAATCTATGTAGTGCGACGGGTTTGTTAAACTCCTAAACTTTTGCTTTGCTTTAATGAGGACTTTAAGAAAAATGGATATAGATATCCAGTCCTAATCGGGAAAGGTCTGGGCATACACAATGTTATCATATTTTCGCAAAATCAGCAAAAGTTAGTGCATGATTGAACTATGCACTAAATCTCGCTGATTTTGCTTAACTAAGTTTCAGAAGCTGAGTTCCCAGAGGTATGGACTTAGTAGCCAGATAACTACATTAAAGTAAATTTGGGACAAACCATGCTCTGGTGATATTCCGACACTTTAAATTTGCCTTTAACGTCTATCTATAGCTTAACACAAGCTCTGAACGATTTTAGAGAGCACGTGCGATTTGCTTTCCCGATGACACCAACAACTCCTGTACCTAGAAAATATCCGTTTAAAGTTTTATCAGTCATTCAATGAGTGAGGTCAAATCCTATAAAAGCAACGGGAGGAATGGAGCTCAAATCATACGTTGATTTGGTTAGGCGAATGAACAGGCTTAGGGTAGTAGATTTCCCTGCAGCCTCATAACATAAAATCATAGCATTAATTATTACATTCAACCGCCATAACTAATCCTGTTAGCCTAAAAGTGGCATCCATACTCTCCACTGTAGTGAGAGAGACCACAATCGTGACAGAGACAAGCGCTATGTCAGCAGCGCTAGCGTCAGGCATTGGCGAATTGGTGCAGCTAACATAAAGTGCCATAATCCGCGCCTACTGGCAACTCCTGTCGCTGTAGTAGACATGTAGCCCATAGTTAGTCTTTCAGACCTAAATAATTTTTGAACCCATATTTGAAAATCTATGGATTTGTGTGCCAAACCGCGGCGTGAAAATCTATTTGCCGGCACTTGACACTCATTGTGGCTACCAGACGTTTTCAACATTCCATGCAAAAATAGTTAAATCGAAAGAGTGAAAGTGCCGCATGTGTCAAGATGTTGGCTGCGTAGCGCTCGAAACACTAGAGCGAACCGCTGAGTGAGATAATGCCGGAGGATGTCTATGGTTAAAAAATAGAAAACAGTTGCAATGAAAACAAAGAATCTTCAGCAACTTAGAAGTACTTCTGGCAAAGTTTTCGATTGTCGTTGTTAACTGTTGCACTTCGGGTTGATGATTATAGAGTTTGAAATGTTGAGTGCTGATATTTGACTCATTTATTCTCCCTCCTCTTTTCCGTACAAGAGATTTGTAACCGATAGGCCGAACAAGAAATCCGAGTAGTTGAGTCTCTGTCAGTGTTTTGGCTTCCCATCGTGGGAATTATGAGTGAGTATCAGCATCTGGGAGTCTGCGGATCTGAGAATTCCCACAAATTTTGTATCTTTTCATTGCTATCTAATTATGAGCCAGAATCAGGGAATATGCGGATCTGAGTTAAATACTTCATCACTATTATAAATTTCGACTCTTTTTCATTTCTGCATAACTCAAAGTCCAATTGAAGATGTAATGAGTAGTTGGTTATCTCTAAAAAAGTTCCCTTATCTATTCACGATAATTACGAGTCAGTTTCGATCTAGGTATCTAGAAATCTGGGTAATCACTCATTTAGCTTAACACGAACAAGTTTTGCTGTTTGTGTTACAAATTTGGGAGCCCTTTAATTTTTATATCATTCTATATATCATTTAAGGTCCAATTGGAGGTTTACTCGGTTTGAGTTCTTTTATGATAGTAGTCTCTACATTCGATTCATCGATAGAAGTAACTTTGTCAGAAGTGTAAACGAGAGAGAAAGAGCAAGATGCTTTTGTTATTGTTATAATAATAAAAAATGTTTTTAAAATTAAATTGAGGACTTCTGTCGAGTTTAGAGTTTTTATATCGATTTGAAAACTTCATCAGAAGCACAGGGTGGTGCCGAGAGGAGCCAATGTGCCTCGTAGAGGCTTAAATACTTCGTGAGGCAGACGCTCTACCAGCGTACCTACCCAGCTGGATAAAAGTTTCCGTGTCGATCTGCTAGTACCGAATGTCGTTGGAACAGAGAGTGAAGTTATTCGTTGTAAAAGAGCGTGAGATTATGGCGTGCAATCATTATGGCGAGTTCGCCAGCTTCCAGAGAAAGAAAAGCGCACTTGATAAATATTTACAGAAAGTATAAACAATAGTTTTGACAAAGTATTCCGCTTTCTGCAATCAATTTTTATATTCATTGTATTTATTCAAAACATGTGAAGGAAATTATCAAATTTAACTTAAGCAAATTAAAATCTTTTAAAAATACAACCTAGTAGAAGTGGTGCTCATAGCTTTATCTCGTATGCTGCTTACAAAAAATGCCACCAATACAAATGTCCCTTTCAATTGACACAACAAACTCTTGCATATATACTTGTTAGTAAGCCAGCTGGTGGACGTACTCATGGCAAATCTAAAGTGACCACAGCGGCTAACGAACCTAAATTTGGATATGCTACCGAATAGGCATAAGCACGCACATACATATTTAGAAAGACTATTTACCTATATATGTGTGTATATATACTATAGAGGATATTTTTGCAATCAAGACAACACTTGTAATTGACTGACCGCCTGGCCACTTAAGCTACGACAATAAGCACTTAAGCACATACAAAAGAGCACATATTCCTCTGCTATAAGTGGCATACATACATACATATGTATATAGAAATAGACATATATGTATAACCCTAACATTTGTATATGTAAGTATAGTTAAGATAGTAAGTGGTTAGCCTAAAATAACTAAAGGATATTATTGTCATGAAATCTCATTTGATTGCCAGCTGAAACACATATGCACACACCACCCATTAATACATATGTAAGCATTAGGGTCGGCCAAAAAAATTGATTATTTTTTTTAATTTTTGCTTAGAAAAATTGATTGTTGGATACATTTACAAAAAATTTGATGGGTGAGTTTGTATGGCAGCTATATGCTATAGTGAACCGATCTGAAAGATTTCTGCAGAAGGTATACCGTTGCTTAGGATAATATCTCATACCAAATTTCTTGCTGATATCTCTCCAAATTAAAAAGTTTTACATACAAGCACTTGGTTCAAATCCTTCAATTTGTATGGTAGCTATATACTATAGTTGCCCGATCTGAACAATTTTTTCAAAAAGTTCACCATTGCTTTGGGCAATACTCTGTGCCAAATCTGATGAAGATATCTCGTCAAATGAAGAAACTTTCCATATAAGCTTTTATATCTGATCGTACAGTTTC